AGTTTTTAATTAATCGTTTGCAGCTCAAAAAAAATGCGTGCTGATATTGCGTGCTCTGCAATTGCCGACAATTAAACAGATTTATGTCTTAATCATTCTTTATTAATTGTTTTATATTAGAATATATTTTAAAGAAGAATTTTTGCTGTTGATATTATCAATTTGTTTTTCAATTAGTCGTACTCTTTATTCATTAATAAAATGAGATTAGTAAACGTGTTTATGAAGCGTAATGTCTTATTACTGTTTTGCTAGCTTTAAATATATATATATATATTGAGAAATATAGTAATACCTCGGATGGTTTATATTTGTATTATTATATCTTTGTATGCATATTGGCACTATTCGAGTTATTGCTGTACTATCTTAAATTATCTGACAAGATTGAAATAGTTTAAGCTCTTTAGAATATTCTTTTGAAAATAATGATGGTAACGACGTTGCATTGGTTATTCTTATCTGCTATTCGATATATTGGCAATAGTATTGTATTGTTGTTGTAGTTAAAAAGTGTGTCAAAAGTTATCTTGATATTTTGCACTGATCGTTCATGTGTATTGGTCTTTCGAGATCGCGCGTTTGTTGTACGATTTGATAAAGATCCAACTTCTATAATTAAGGCCACATACACGTAGACAGACGACTCCACCCATGCACATTTCACTGTCCAATCAAATCGCGTCTAGTGAGTGAATGCTTCTTTAAGCACGCGCCTAATTTCAATCTCTATGGAATTGCAAAAACGCCAAAAGTTTAAATCATTTGACATTTACCGACTCTCAATTTTTGGCTGCACATTTAACAGTGGACAGTTTTAAAAAGAATTGTTTCGTACCCACGTGGAATCCAGTTAATAGTTTAAGTCATTTTGTCTCAACGATGAAGATTCGATTGAAACTCGCAAACAGAGTAAAATATTTTCGTTCAAAATGAGATGAATGTATAAATATTGCATTTATAAATAAACTTACGTTTATCCTATAAAATTCATTTCGCGCTACTGTAACACATTTTTTGTTTAAAATAAGAACGTGTCTGTTGTGTTTAAAATATAGTGCAAATCTCGAGCCGAAAGTATCTTTGCCGTTTTAAATTATTACAATTTTAAACAAAAATAAATGGAATGCAATCAATTACAGTGTGTTTGAATATCTATGGAATTTCACATTAGAAAATAACATTGAACGTGCTAATATTATCAATTTTAAGAATATTTTTAGATTTTCGAGTACTTGTTATCAATACATTTAATTTTTGTTTATATAAAGTGTAATTAAATACGATATAATAATCTGTATTGTCAAATTTGTAATATAATTTGTACTCGTTGCAATGATTCATGTATTTTTTTTCTTCAAACTATTGTATTGTTTATTAATTATAATTATCGCAATAATTGTCGCAATAAATTTTATTATTGTTAATAATAATTTGAAAAAGAGACATGGAATGTTTGAAGATCTGTTTGTAAGCAAGATAAAACAAAAGCAGAATTTTAAGTCAATTTTATACGTAGAACTTTTCACACAAATATTTTTCTTGCGAATTCTATGCAGCTCATGACGTTGCCCAACTATATCAATACATTATACATTCCACAAAATTTTGACGATGTCTGCAATTGACGTGACATTGCGTATTTTACATTTTTTTTAAACAATAGCACGTTTTTTTTCTTTGTAATAAATTGAAGTCCAGGTTATAAGTCAGGGGACCGAAGTCTGATTATTATGACTCTTTTATATCGTTAACACCGTTTCAATATTGATCCTTCTGATGCAGAAACAGTGATTGATATGTAATTCTTCTAGATTAATAAACACTTTTAATCATCATCAATATTTGTTCGTTGATATAAGTCTATTGCTCTGTTTTAATCGCACATTTATCAGGATTTTGTAATGTAGAAGAAGCATAATGATTTACGAGCAATACGCTTTCGAAGTTGTAGATACACAACTAGCTAACTGCTTCTGCGTTTCCACAATTAATTATGTCTCGAAACGTACCTTGCTGAAACTATAATATATGTCTTTTTCCTTTTAATTCGAGTAAACAAACTTAAAAATAAAGCTGTTTGACATTGACTTTGAAATTGTAATAATAGTGTAAATAGATAGATAGATCAATCCGGGGAAATCTGTGGCAACTGATTCCTCTCATTCGCTCGCTTTCTCGATTTTTCATTATCTACTAGATAATCGATAAGTTGGGATTGCTCAATTCCACGTGACCGGCAAATTTCAGGTCAAGTTCCTTATGCACAAAACATTGATCTTTCTGGATCGCCTCGCTTCCTTCGATTAGGCAATGACTTAAGCTAGTTTTTATTTTATCGGTTCTCATGGAGATGAAGATGCAATAAATCTATTTAATGTGCGTTTTTCTATCGATTTGCATAGCGCAGATGTTTTTGCAATCGCGTTGCGAAATTGCGTTTCATTGCTTTTCCACTCTCTTCGATTAATTTATACGAACTGGAGATAGTACTGCAGATGTAACAGTTATAGTTTATGCATTTAATTAGTATTTAGATATTAACTACGGTTTTCAATTAGCTACAAACATTTTTGATCTCACGGTTTTTTCTTTTAATTTAGGTCAAAGTGTTATATAAATATAATAGTACTTGCAAAACAAAAATATATTTTTTGAAGAAAATAGCAGAAATATATTTCTTGTTATTTATAATTATCTAAAGATAATAGACAGAAAGCAATATTTGTTAGAAACTATGCAAAGAAAATATTATTAATTGTAGAATAGGAGTAATAGAAACTGGTGTAAATCATTGATTTTCAAACATTTGTCAAAAACAATATTGTAAAAAATAGTCAATTGAAACCTTTTTTTGATCCAACAAAATAATAATAATATTTACAACTGCTAATACTTTTTTTTATAAACTTTGGTAAATAATTATTGTGTTTAATTGCTATTTATAAATAATATTAGAAAGCTTTTAATAGCAAAGTCTTTCAATTTCCTCGGGCTTTTTACTTGCATAAACATCCTCATATAGAAAATTCCTTTTGCGCGCATTTTTTTTGTCCAATCTGCGATGCGTGTTTACGTGCGCAAATCGTAAAAATAAATCTTATGCATAGGTGGCTCCTGTATGGATAGAGAGAGTGTGCATCTCGACTATATAAGACCGGAGAACATTTGAGAGAGGAATAGGGCAACAACAAAAAAAACGTTTGTGAAATGTTTACAATGGAATTATTATTCATGAGACCCAAATATTTGAAGTAATTTTGGCCAGACGCCAGAAATTGTCAGCCGCAGATTGAATCGCGAAAACCGTTCTTGGTATCGAGCTTCTTGCTCCTTCAAAGACGATGGCTAGATGTCGTTATTAATTTACGTTATATGATTGGTGTTTCGGTGAATGCATATTCAAATATACATAATCAAACCGAATACATGCATTATTTGATTCTTGCATTTAATTAAACAATGTGGATTATCTCGTAGAAAAAATATATAGATACATATTTGTACCCATTTTACGGTGATTAATTTTATAACTATTCTTCGATATTTTTAAAATACAAGACAATATAGTTATAAAAACTCATTAAAAATTACTGGGCAGAAAGACCTATGGCTGGTAGCCCTTTACAGTAGATCAATTTGTTTTTATTTTCTTGTTATGTTATTTTGTTGAGTTTTTAGTATGATGATTTGTTGCAATAAATGTTATTATTATTATTAAAAATTATGCATGATTACGTATAATTATTTTTAAAGATAATCAAAGTTTTCCTATCAAAGTTCTTCGATTTTTTACTTATTTTGTCTTATTTTTACACACTTGAAAAGTTTCAGGATATTAACTAAATAAATAAGTCTTAAAAAATGTATATGTCTAAATTAGTTTCTGAAAATATGAAAAAAAAATAGATTTTAAGTCATTGATGAATATCAAAATTATCTTACTTATAGAAAAACAGAAAGCTGAGAAAATTTCTTAGTTTAATTTATGAGAATGTATCAATAATATTTGAGTGTTTTGAACAAGAAATAAACCTACAAAAATACTACGAAGTGTTTTCTGTCATAAATTATATAGAGATAAAGATATATTATAAATAGTACTCTTATTCTAATAAAAATATGATTAATATATTTTTTCAGAAATGGAAACAATAGAAAAATTTAGTTTGTGTTATCAAAACATTATTTCTGCGTTTGACAATGAAAAGTCAAATGATTATAAATGTTCATATTTAATGTTTAAATAATTAATGATATCCACATACTTAGTGCAATCAATAATATCAGGTTTCGAAGCATAGCAAATGCTACTTGATCCTGTATTAGAAATCCAAGTCCGAAATATATTTAGTAATTAATTAACTGTCTACTAAAATAAAAATATGTGCAAGTATTCGTATCCTTGACCCATATGTGTTTATATTTAACGGTTTTTCTCTCTTTCTGTCTAATCTAAAAAAAATAATATTGAGATGCTCTTATCATTTTTTTTTCGCTCTCAGAAAAGCAATTGCTCAAGTGTGAATTGATGTTGGAAAATATCTTTGCAAATGTAAAATGCCTATTCGACAAACGACTATTTCTCAGCACAGCATAATCTCGGTTACTAAGAACAAATTACATCTTCAGCTGCAATAAATGCATCGTCAACTTTACCGAAATGTCAACGTGCCATATCGATTGCGACTTATGGTTTCGTGGTTTCCATTTATATCATCTATTTGTAATAATAACAAGAGCACATAGAGAGAGATGGATAGATGGAAATGACTCAACACAATGAAAGTATTGTTTCGAGTATATTTCGCTGATTAATGACGTCTTCCTTGCGCTGAGCTGCGCGGTTATACCATACGTGGAAAATCTGCTGTTTTTTTTAAGTTATTTTCCTTTCTTTTTATATATTGTATTTAAACTGTCACGGTTATTTATAGACGTGCGATTTGCGCTCTTCCTCCCCCTTTCCATAATGTCCTAATCCAATTTGAGGTTTGCGGAAATGCACAGTGCCACATAGATGCACGGTCAGCGCACGTACGTGCAGGTGAACTGGGCCGTCTTTGTGTTTCTGAAACGTGCTGAAAAACGAAAAAAGAAAGAACGTTCATCGTTTCATAACAATAATGCTTTTAATGTATTCACCCGATATCTCCGGTCGTCACGTTCTACTTGAAATGGTGGAAGCGGGAAGAGACGAGCTACGACGTCGCCAAAGTTGGTAAAGTTTAACTTCTACTTGCTGCGGGAAAGTGTGATTTCTGAAGACATGGTCGCGAACAATGACATTTTTATCATCTGGTGCATGAAAATCATCAGGGCGACGGTACGTGCTCGCTTGCAACTTCCAGTTAGTATCTTGCACAATCGTAATTTTTACCTCATTTCAAATCGCTTTAACAATTCTATTAGCTCTAGCTAATTCCCAGAATAATTGCGCTGCTTGAATCGATGACGCCACTAAACTAATTAAATTTACCGAAAACTCACTCGAATTCAACAATATATATTGCCCTGTTACGCAACGAGCACGCGAATTTGCTTGATAATGCACATATTATTTACATTTATTTTTAGTCGACGCTTTATCGGAGCTGCAATTAATTAATTATTAAACATGATTTCAGGTGGTCAGGGGTCATGAGAAGATGCTTCGCTATTCGGAGATTCCTAGGAATATTTCCGGGGAGAGTTTCACCAAACTGAAAGCTTCCAATGTGAGTACTATTCCTAAAAAAAACTATTAGCACTGGACATATTATCTAAGATATAAATAATATATTTAGATTCTTACGAATATAAGAGATACGAATCTGTCATTCTCATTAGATTTTATGATACTGTCGTGTCCCAGGGATGGAATTCTGGACACAGTGGAATACTGTCTGGTGTTGTCGTTGTGGAGTCTCAGTTGTAGAAATTAAATAATTCAATTAGTTTTACATAACTTTATTCGTTACTTGGTCTTCTGAGACTATATTAGTCTTTTAATGTTTTACTGAGACTATGCTCATCATATTAACGTTTTACTGAGACAATTCTAAATACTTATTCTACTTACAAAGTTAAAAAGTTAAAAGATGATCGATTATTTATAATAAGGACTTGAATTCGGAGTAAAGGTACAGGAGTATCGATTGGAATGTATACTCTTGATCCCCTTTGTTTATATTAAAGTGTATCGAACGGAATCACAGTAGAGATTCCTTTATGCTGATGTATATGTTTATATAATAATGCGACTAAGAGACATCCACTCTAGTTCGTTAATACACTATATTAACAATAACAATTATAATAATAATGGTTGGACACAACAATACAGACGACGGTTCTCAACCTATGGGTTATTTTTTTAATGGTTGTGAAACTATAATTAATACGATAATCAATTAAACATTAAATCATTCGTTATATTTTTATATTATACATATGGTATAATATAGGCGTATTATACGCATGAAATTAAATAAGAAATTCAAAAGTTAATATCATAGATGAACAAAAATAAAATATATATAGCGCAAGATTTCATTACAAATCGTCTAATTTCAAACAGTGTAAAAACAGGTATCAGTATACCTTTTTCTGACATATGATAGTACATCAATAAAACATAATGCAGAGAGGATAAATATTATTAACATTTTATCCTTTTTGTGATGCATTCTTATGTTTGACCAATAGATTGTATCAAACGTTCAATTATCGTTTCTATTTGCAGAATAATGATGCAAAATAATATATGAAGAATAACTTATTTATGTCAGATTATTTCCGAACTATTGGATCTCTAATATCTGTTTTCAATCTTCGTTCCAAGTAATTTTGCATCTGACATGTCCGGTAACATTAAGTAGCTTTTACTTAGTTGGATTTAGTCTAGAATCTATCATTTAATTGTTCTTTATTCATTGATACAATTTATAGTTTCAATTAGTCAAATACATCCGTATTTTAGAAAGATCAATTGTAAGTGATTAAATTTTATTTATATGTAGTTTTTAATTATATATTAAAGATGACAATGCTAGAGATTCCTATGGTTAAGGATGTGCCTATTAATTAAGTAAAATTACTATATCAGCTTTAAGAAAATTTTTGATAGGACTCATTGATGATTTTGCTTTATTGATACTAATATTGTATAAGTGACTTGTAATAATTTTACTGTTTGTGTCTATATAATTTTTAATATATTATTTTTTTGTTGAATTGTATTAAATATATGAGAGTTTTGAGGGCCAACACTTAAGATAAAGTTGCTAATTGCTTATTGGTGTACTCTTTCACAATACTGCCTAAAATTATAATTACAATTTCAAAACAAACATTGAATATATATACCTATATTATTTATTTATGAATTGAATAGATAATATCTTATAATAGCTTATATTTTTGAAAATATTTAATTTTACATTTTGAATTTCAATAGATAAACCATGATATTGCAAGATAAGATTACATAACATGCACATTATCCGTTTTTGAATATAAATAATTTTATTTTTAACCATCGATATTTATTTACAATCTCTTCTACTTGAATGAACTGATTTTTTTTTCTCTAAATAAAAAGTGTCTAAGTAAAAAGTGAATGATGTTTGTAGTAATTGAAAAAAAATGTTTATTTATTTTTTTAAAATCTTGTCTGGTGCCGAGGATTTTTGTGCTCGAGCCAGATCCCTGTCTATAGCGATTATTCCCTGTTACAGAGCCAGGATGAAGATTACAAAGACGGTGGAAATTCCAAAAAGGGTACGTTCTCATGCTCTAGCGGAAGTTCCGGTGAACGCGAACGCAAGGTGTCCTCGAAGAGCGTATCAGGAGGTCCCGGGCCGCCCGACCAATCATATTACAATTACAGGTAGCTATTAAGGATCTCAAATGCATAAGACAAAAAACTAAAATCCGGTGTTCACTCCTACAGCAGCAGCACCTCCTTTGCCGCAGTACCTGCCAGCGTAAAGACTCAGAGTTTGCCAAATTCGGCGCGCAACTACAGCTGTCCCGTCTTCGATGTGCTGCGCATCAGTCCTGAAGAGTTGGCGAATCAAGTGACCCTCCTCGATTTGCCGCCCTTCCTCCATATACAACCGGACGAATTGACGAGTTGCGCCTGGAACAAGAAGAACAAACTTACAGTGGCCCCCAACATCGTCGCTTTCACGCGACGTTTCAATCATGTAATTACAATTGCAAAACTCAATTTAATTGATTATTATTAATATCACATTGATCATTCGTATCATCTTCATTAAATAATAATTCAATTATTTTTTATTGCATTCAGTAGTTTTAGGAGAACTGATATCTTAATTATAACTCATTGCTTATTTCAAACCTACTTTTATATCTTATGGTATTTTATAATATTCCTTGATAAAATGTGAATTATGAAGTTATGTGAACAAAAAAACATATTTTCAGTCACTTTTTTAAAATATCAAACATATCTTATTTGACATTTTTTAACTATGTTCAAAATCTTTCTTAAATTATTTAGTTTATTTCATTATGAGTTTTATTATGAATGTTTTCTGATGTGTAGAAATATTTTGTTATCAAATGCCCCAATAGTCTTTAAGTTTTTGTAAATTTCAAAAGTACGAAACATTATTTAACACATTTTTTTATTTTTATTTATTTAATAATTTTCGTACTGTAATATATTTTTTTCGTAAATGTGACTGCAAATATAATAATGAATTATATGTTTCATCCGTAGGTCAGTTTTTGGACAGTTCAAGAAATACTCTCCGGGGCCACAGCGAAACAACGCTCCGAAATTCTGGGGCACTTCGTGAAAATCGCGAAGAAATTATACGAACTGAACAACCTTCACTCGTTGTTCGCCATAATCTCAGCCTTGCAAAGTGCCTCCGTTTACAGGCTGTCGAAGACCTGGGCGTATCTGTCCAAGAAGGATAGGCAATCGTTCGAGAAACTCGCCGAGGTTTTCTCCGACAACAACAATTGGTCCAATCTAAGGAGCCACATAGAAAGTTTGAAGCTACCATGCATCCCCTATTTAGGTAGAATGAATTTTGATTAATTTCATTGTGAATCGAGTTAAAATTTTGCATTTGATTTCAGGCTTGTACCTGACTGATCTAGTTTACATTGACATGGCTCATCCCCATTCGGGTGGTTTGGAGTCGCAACAGCGTAGCCTGAAGATGAACAACATCCTCAGAATAATCTCAAATTACCAACACTCTAATTACTCGCAGTTGGCCGTCTTGCCGCACGTCAGAGATTATTTGCATTCTATACGATATATTGAGGAGCTGCAGAAGTTCGTAGAAGATGATCAGTATAAGTAAGTGAATGTTTGGATCAAATTGAGAACATCGTTTTAATCGTTTTCAATTGTGCAGGTTGTCCTTGAAATTGGAACCGCCCTCGCCTCCTCCGAGTTCCTCCAGCTGCAGTTCAAAAGAGTCCGTCATCGTGGACGCCACTGCGATAGCATCATTAAACCTATCACCAGCGAAGGCTTCAAGCGGTTCTCTAAGGTTGCACGCCGTAACTGCGGGCAGCAGATTCATACCTGGGCACAGGAAGTGTAGGAGTCTCGGCACAAAGTAAGCAAGCCCTCGTGCGCATCGCTCGTCACTTATCAACCAACTCGCTACTTATATTTCTTTCTCTCTCTTTGTCTGTTTCTTCTGACTCCCGACTAACAAAAACACTAATCACGTACGTTTGTGTGCAATATGTGCGCGTGGGATTCCCGTTTTCTCCCTGTATACAGATTTCGTAGCACAAGTCTTCCACGCAATTTCCATAAACAGGGTGGCCCATTATTTGGGTACTCTCCGATTGTGGTGCCGTGGGGGTAAGTCCCAATAATCTCAAATCCTTTTTGAGAATGCTTTTCCGTTACGTATTTGTGTTGTGCGTGTTTTGTGCTGGTATCTGGTAGTTAATGGTGCATGGTTGTTCTCACAGTTTACTAGGAAAGTGATAGCAGGTTGAATTAACCGACTACTTCTTTTAGTATATTCGGTAAGAATCAACAGGTCGTTGAGCCGAGCGACGTGCCGAAGGCATTGCATTTACTGGACGATTCCGAGCTGGAGGAGTCGCAAGGAGCCAGACACCATCTCAATCTGCCCTCGCCCACCATAGATTTGCCCCTGGAGGCCTCCAGGAACACTTCGGAAGAGACAACTCTTCTTACAAGGTTTGTAGCTTGCATATATAGGCAGATATATGTATCTCTATTTGTGTCTGTCGTGTTCTTTTGGATTCTTAGTGCCATATTTTTGCTTACAAATAGGGACGTTCCTCTCTAAATGTTCTCGGTACCATTACAGTGTGCATTCTACAATTTGAGGCACCCTCCATTTAAGTATATAATATTAAAGTTATTATCATATACTATTAACATAAAGTTTGCCCTAAGATAGACCAAATGTTTTGACTTGGGGCGCCGCGGAAATATTATGAAATATTAAGGGTGCCGCAACCCGAAAAAGTTTGGAATTCCCTGATATACTCAATAACGATTTCCATTTCATTACATAAGATAAATAATATGGCTTACATAAGTTACATTTTTTGCAGATTAATTCATTCAATAGTGATATTAATTACAATTGTTTTTTTAAAATTAGAATCAATGTTAAAATATCGTTTCTTGTTTCAGACTGACTGATGATTGTGATGACCAAACGTGCAGCATGCAAGGCTGCGTGCGTCGGAAGACTCTCCTGAAGCACGGCCGTAAGCCCACCGTGACTTCATGGCAAAGATATTGGATACAAATTTGGGCCTCATCTCTTGCCTATTTCACACCAAAATCATTCAAAGGGTAACTATTAATCAATCTTTCGGCGAATTTGTTCTTTTATTTGTTCGTTATTTTCAGTACTCAGCGATCTGACTTTAAAAGGGAACCCTGCAAATTGGTCTCTCTAACCGGCTGCCACGTGCTGCTCGGAGACAACTCTCTGCATCCGGATTTGTTCAAAATCGTCGACCACCAGAGAGGTAAGTTGTTTTAAGATGATCTTGTTAATGAAAATTCTCACACAGAAAATATTCTTTCTACCTAGGAAATATTTACAAGTTCAAGGCGGGCACTTCGGGTATGGCCGAAAGGTGGATACGACACATTCAGCAGGCCGCCAGGTCCGAGCAGTCTCCACTTCCAACCAATCTCATGACATTCGAATGACCCCCTTTGGTTTCATCATCATATCACAATTTATTTAAATCTCTCCCATTTTTATTGTTTAATAATATGATAATTTTATATATATATTTACTTGTTTTGTATAAAAAAAAGAAAGGAAAAGATGAAAGAAAACTTTTTTTTTTCTTTTTTAGGTCTTTGTTTTTATTCTTAAGGAATATATAGTGATAGAGAAAATGAAAAAAAGGAAAGCAATAAATAATAAATATATGTGCAAATCATATTTTTTGGTAATGGAAAGAACTAAATCATTTTTTTTTTCACTCCCAAAGTTCAGTCTATTTTATATTTTAAATTCTTTAATTGCTAGCTCAATCAAAACTAATAAAACTAACAGAAATAATCATTTTCTGACCATAAATTATTAGAATTTCGTCAATTTGAATGTATTTATTGATCCTCGGATGGTAATAATAACAACAACAAAAATGTTTGAACAAATTGTTGGAATAGTCTCAATTTATACTTATACAGTAAAGGAATAAATTGTGCAACGTTATTAATTTTTTTTGAACTAGAATACAACCTAACAAAAGGTTGATAAGATGCAGATATTGGAACTCTGCTCCATTCCTTTTATGTTTTTTCACAGAGGTTATCAATTTTTGTTGTTATAAATCTCTTTGCCCTATTTCTGCTACCCCTTTGGAGCTTATCAGCCCTCATAATTTTAAAATCTACCAACTTTATTTATCGGATTTTATGATACAGATACTATAACCTCAGAGCTACAGCCGTCCTAACTCTTATTTACATCCCTCCAAATATAATTTGCTTAGGGTGCGATTATCCTTAATCTGCCGCTGGCCATTTCGCATGTCATGTGACTGTCCTAAATCGCATTGCACATTCGAGATTTTCGCGCCAATTCTATAGATATAAATATAAGGAATTCTAAAGCAGTAGTAAGCAAGTTATTAATGATAAAAATATATAGTATATTTATATCATTGTAGTTATTAACGTCAGTCTCATAATTGTAATATCATATTATTAAATATTTTCTACATTAATACTGACATTTAGCAGGTAAATAATAAAATATCTTTATATTGGTGACTATTTAACCTTAACATATTGAGGATATCTGGTTGTTCTGAAAAAGAATAAATTGGCGCGATTTGGTGAAGTTGTTGTTGCGTTTCGCGTTTATAACTGTTATAACCGTTTGCATTGCAGTTTTATCATATATTACTCAATTCATTTTACATATATAAAATAGTACGAGCTATCATGGCCAATTCTCCGGCTGCGAAAAAGATCTTCGTTGTCAATAGAGGTAAATATATATAAAAATAAATACTTATTTTCTTTATTATTCATGCATAAATATATTAAGATCGACGCCAAGAAGAAGTTTATTTGGATAAAATTACGTCCAGGCTGGTGAAGCTAACTGTTGATATTAATTTGTAGATGTCACAAGTGATTTGTTCCATGCTTTTGATATAGAAACAGACAGACAAACTCATTTAGTATCAAAATTGCATTATGATATTGTAATGAAGAATGCAGACATTTTAAATTCATGTATAATATATGATCGGGATTTTTCATACAATTACTTTGGTTTCAAGACTTTGGAGAAGTCATATTTGTTAAAGATTAATAACAAGACTGTTGAGAGACCTCAGCACATGCTGATGAGAGTGGCTGTGGGTATACACGGGGAGGATATTAAGTCTGCAATTGAGACATACCATTATATGTCTGAAAAGTATTTCACCCATGCTAGTCCAACATTATTCTCTGCAGGCACTCATAAGCCACAGTTGAGCTCATGTTTTTTATTGATGATGCCAGAAGATTCAATTGTTGGGATTTATAAATGCATTTCTGATTGTGCAATGATTTCAAAGTCTGCTGGTGGCATTGGAATTAATATTCATAATATAAGAGCAGCAGGAACACCAATTATTGGTACAGGCGGTAAATCGGATGGTTCAATTCGGATGGTTCAAAGTGTTCAACAATACAGCGAGGTACGTGAACCAAGGTGGTAGACGACCTGGTGCTGTTGCTGTGTATTTGGAGCCGTGGCATGCAGATATTATGGAATTCCTGAATCTAAAAAAGAATACAGGGAATGAAGAGGAAAGAGCCAGGGATTTGTTTTATGCCTTGTGGATACCAGACTTATTTATGAAACGTGTAGACACTGATTCTGTCTGGTCACTGATGTGCCCTCATAAGTGTCCAGGATTATCGGACTGTTGGGGCGAAGAGTTCGAAAAACTCTATGAAAAATACGAAGCCGAAGGTAAATATAATAAACAGATACCGGCTAGAGAAGTTTGGCGCGCAATTGTTATCTCGCAAATTGAGGTTGGTGTTCCTTATATGCTGTACAAGGATGCCTGCAACTCAAAGAGTAACCAACAGAATTTGGGCACAATCAAGAGCTCGAACCTGTGCACAGAAATAATGGAATATACTGCGCCCGACGAAACTGCCGTCTGTAATTTGGCATCCATTGCCGTTAATATGTTTGTAAAACCAGATAAATCATTCGATTTCATCAAATTAAAGGAACTTACCAAACTAGTTACTAGAAATCTGAACAAGATCATCGACATCAACTATTATCCTGTACCTGAAGCTAGAAACTCAAATATGAGACATCGTCCAATTGGTATTGGTATACAGGGATTGGCCGATGCTTTTATCTTGATGAGGATTCCGTTCGAAAGCGAAGACGCACAAAAGGTTAATGTACAGATATTCGAGACTCTTTATTATGGAGCTTTAGAGGCCAGCTGTGAAATTGCCGAAAGAGATGGACCATACTCGACATACGAAGGATCTCCGGCCAGTAAGGGAATTCTCCAATACAATATGTGGAATGTAACACCAACAGATTTATGGAATTGGACTGCTTTAAAGGAAAAAATCTCAAAGCACGGAATCAGGAATTCTCTTCTTCTAGCTCCTATGCCTACGGCCAGCACTGCCCAAATTTTAGGAAACAACGAGTCNNGAAGAACCAACTTATCGCCAACTATGGTTCCATCCAGAACATCCCCAGTATTCCAGATGATATCAAGAAACTATATAAAACTGTATGGGAGATCTCGCAGAAGACCGTGATCAACATGTCCGCAGATCGTGGAGCATTTATTGATCAGAGCCAGAGCCTAAACATATCGCTAACCCATCGTACGTTGTTATGAACTCTGTGCATTTCCATGGATGGAGGAAAGGATTGAAGACCGGTCTTTACTACTTACGCACAAAACCTGCCCAACCAAATAACGGTTGATAAATCAAAATTAATTTAGGAGAAGAAACGAAGGCAACGAGCTGCTTCACTTTTTTTCCTGCAAATTCCAGGTCCATGTGATATGAGCACTTTTATAAGTATCAAGATTTTTAATTTTGTAAGTTTTTATACATGTTAATTTTTAATAAAACCAAATACATTAAGAAAATAATTTTGTTTTTAAAATAATTATAAATTCTAATTTGCAATTTCAAGTATTGCTTTTGGAATATAATATATTATAGATTAGATTCAAGCAAGTGCCCTGCGAGCGACCGATCATACAATTATCGTGATAGATTTGTTTCAATGGTATTTTATTAAATAATATATTAGGCAGCTAGAGATCTCATGATGACTCCCAGGCTCTTCATATCACGGAAACTTGAGTAATGATATATTCAAAGAACCATTTATTGAAGTTAGAATAAAACGTCGATTATCCGGGTCTCAATTTGACATAAAATAATGAGTTTTGAAGTCTAGTTTTACAATGAAAACAATAAAAATTACAGATTTCCTTTTAAAATTAATGATAATATGTTTTGGTACATACATAGATATTATGTTTTTAAAGCAAATAACAGTGAAGTTTGTATTAACCGTGTTTTTCAATTATCCGTGCTTAACGTTCCCGAATCATTGGTAATAATCGGCGTTGTAGTGTATTAGTAACCCAAAGTATACGTCCATTTTTATTGTGTCGGCAGAGTCGAACCGAAATTAATTTCGTTCTGGTTTACGGTTACGTTCCAAGTAAATGTTCATATTATAAAACCGTCAAACCTATCCACCGTCATATTATAAAACCAACTGTTTTTTGATTGTCGAGCTGAGTCATTGTCAATGTTCAAATTCAAAGTAGCAATTTTTTAAAGTGATTGGCATCACACTCATTAAAGTCGCTTTAAGTAATTTGTGTTTGGGTTTTCTCTAATAATCTCTTTATTATCCGTTCTTATTATCTGAATTACCTCGATGGTCACAACAATATAGTACAATACCTCGAGATAAAAATAAATGTCCAACATATAGGTACAAAGTACCCAATTTCTTGCAATGAATAGCAATATAATACGTGTTCACAGACTGATCACTTAGATCAGTGTCTCTCATACTTTCGATATCTGTGTACCCTTTCTACAATTTTCGTAATACAATTTTTATAAACAAAAAATGTATTTATAATAAAATATAAATAAAAGGTATATTATAAATATTATTCTTTATAAGATGAGAAGGATGAAGTTATTAATTTGAATCTGAGATGCGGTTTCATATTCAAAAGCTTGTTCCTTTAAATAATGTCTACAAATACTGCTTACAAAAAGCAACTTCAGATATTAATTTGAAAAAGGTAACATGCACAAGGATACAATTGCACTTCTTCTGCAAGCAATAAATCTTCTAGAATATATGTAGTATTAATGTTGAACAGGACCACTTCAAAATTCTCTAAATGCTGTGTTATACATTTCAGATCAGAATTAATTTTACCAGCTGAACTTATTATAAACTCATGAAGATAAGGAAACGCGTCCACTTTTCCATTAGCATCTCTTTTTTGCTACAAATTAAATTTTACCAAGGTATCGTTCATTTTATCTTGAACGTGAAACAATAAAATTTCTTTGTCCTGCAACTTTGTCTTTGTTTTCGATTAGGGGCGTGTAAAAAACCGTACCCCCGGAGGTACGCGTACCACACTTTGGGAATCACTGACTTAGATCAACTCCTTCCATGTTCTTGTTATAATTTTTGATTTTATCAAATTTAAAATCGAAATTACTTGTCAGTTATTTTGATAATACCTTTGATTGTATCGGACACTTCGACATTCTCTCTATGTCCTTAAGCACTTTTAAAAAAGAAATATGCTACTAGGAAATTATCAAATCTCCACAATTTGACTAGGACTCGTGTATAGATTTAGTTGTATAATATTGTTGTATGTAGATTACAAAAATTAAGTTAAACTATACATATATTTTCAATATACTCATCATATTGATAATATTGTAGCGCTTACTTCATTATTTTATTGGTCTGAGCTTGTATAATAATAATTATTATATAAAATATTTAAACGAATGCAGATAAAGATCTCTTGTTATCAATTGCTATTAAAGAGATTAGATTACATTATTAATGGAAATGAAAATTATAAACTAATATTAGTAGTAAATAGCTTACTTTTCATTAGCATTGTCAACGTATTGATATTGTTAAATTACGTGTATTGAAAAAATAAATAAAAATTAAAAACATAATATTAACATTTTTGTCTCAAGAATAATAAGATACATAATTTATTGCAAATTGGTTTTCTTGGTAATTTATTTTTCAATTATATCACCATATTTCACTATATTTCCACATTTATGCTACATTAGTAAATAATAATATTTATTGCAATAACCAAAAAAGTTACCTGCTGCAAAGATCTATTGATCATAGGTCTTTCTGCCCTATATTAGTAATATTTGAGAAACCAAAATTAATAATACATAATATACAGTGACGCGTTACCGCATAGGCGCAGGTCCTCAAAATCGCAAAAAAACGTTATGTTTTTCAATAAGAGACCTCCAAATCAGGATGCGCCTAGGGCCTCACAAAGTCATGATGCGCTACTGAAAATGTAATTAATTGTGATTTTTCACGATATTTGTAATCTCCTATTTTATACGATGCCTGATTGTAGAAATTTGTGTCACGATTATTGCGCTTATTTTCAATGTAACTGTAGTCGTAATCTGTTATCATCTCTGCCCACCTGCTTGTAATTATTTTCAATGATGTTATCGGGGATAATGTCAATTCATTCTCCTGCTTTTTATTTCTGTTATCGTACTTTCTCAGTTATAAAATCATTCTACGGCATTTTAAACTAGGCACTAATTAGTATGAAATTCGTCGTATGTAGTTTGCTGTTATTGGCGGTCTCCTCCGGGGAGACCGCTCGAATTTTGGGAATCTTTCCAATTCCATCATATAGCCATCAAGTGGTGTACCTTCCCATCATGAAGGAATTAGCGAAGAGAGGACATGAGTTGGTTGTAATAACCACCGATCCATTAAAAGAGAACATCAACAATATGAAGCAAATAGACGTTAGTTACTCATACGAATTTTGGAACAACAAGCACAACGTCACGAAAATTATTAACGAGGATAACAGGAATCCACTAGCGATGATGGATAAGTTTTACCATATGTTAACCGATATTATCATTTACCAGTTGGAACATCCTGAAGTGCAAAGATTAATTAACGATAAAAATGAACACTTCGATCTGTTAATGGTCGAATACATGTTACCGACATTCTTCTCTTTTAAACACCGATTCAACTGCCCCATGATAGGTATGGCATCGTTGGATTCACCATACCACGGCCACACGGCAGTTGGAAATCCTGTTCACGCCGTCCTCTATCCTGAATTTTCTTTTCCGTTCAAATCTCAAAAATTGAGTTTTTTGGAAAGGCTACAAAGTTTTTTGTTTCTGCAATTCTCGATGATTTACGGCGAATTGAAAGTATTTCCAGAGGAGGAGCGCACGAAAGTCAAATATTTTGGAAACGATTATCCTCCACTGTCCGATATCATGGCATCAGTCGATATGCTCTTCATAAACGTGAATCACATCTTCCACACTATCAGACCGTTGACACCTGCCACCATCACAATTGGTCCCTTCACTCACATAAAACCACCCAAAGCATTACCAAAAGTAAGTCAACAGCAATAATAAATTAATTAATTTTTGACCAAAAACTATGATTTCAGGATTTAGAAGTATTTCTAGACGAAGCGAAAGAAGGAGTAATTTATTTCAGTTTGGGCTCCAACGTGAAGAGTAAAGATATTCCGGAGGAAACGCGCACCATCATTCTGAAAACGTTCGCCAAACTACCATACAAAATCTTATGGAAATTCGAGGCCGAAAAACTTCCCGGAAAACCAGACAACGTTAAAATAGTGAAGTGGCTTCCGCAGCAGGACGTTCTAAGTAAAACGAAAAATCTTAATCTTAAAAATTTTCATATTTATTGATTCACTTCATTATAGGACACAAAAACATTAAATTATTTATCAGCCAATGCGGATTGCAATCCTTAGAGGAAAGTTTGTACAATTATGTGCCCCTCCTAGGCTTACCTTTCTTCGCCGATCAAATGAACAACGGACTCAAATTAGAAATAAGTCGGTTAGGAATATCCTTGGATTATAAGGAATTGACGATGGAAAATTTCTCCTACAGCATCAACGAAATGATCAACAATCCAAAGTATATAAAAATAATAAATCTTTAGTAATTATTTTATTAAATTCATACATTTTAGATACAAAAACAGAGTTAAAGAGTTGACAAATTTGGTGAAAGACGAACCAATGACGGGTTTGGAGAGAGCAGTCTGGTGGACGGAGTACGTCTTGAGGAACAAAGGGGCACAACATCTGAAGGGCCCAGCCAAAGATATTCCCACATATCAGTATTATTACTTAGATATCATTTCTTTTCTGATGTTTTTATTATCTATAATAATCTTATTCGTTTATTTACTCATTAGAAAATGTTGTAACATCCTCTCAAAAAAGATAAAGCAAGATTAATTATATTTATTTATTTATGCCAATTCCAATTTTCATAAAAGATTATGATAATATATAACATTATTTATTAGTATTATTTACGTTCCCAGCAGCTGAAACAAAATTATAAAATAACCTTTCTTTATATGTACTATACTAAAATTAGTATTTAATAATGTAACAATTTTAATAAATAGGGAAGTATGAAAAAAATATAAGTTATTTTATAACCATTTTTTAAATTTATATGAAATTACTTTATTTTTAAAATGCAAAATTATAATGCTGTTACATCATAAACATATTATTACAAATATAAATCATTATTATATTTGAAAAGTATAGTCCGCTTTAAACAAAGATGACAAAGAAAATCGAACATGGTTAATATAATCAAAAATGCACATAATATATGTGCACAAGTTTTAAAAATTATGTAGCAGGAGCGCAATCCAGAACTTATCTTCTCATCGTCACTCGTTATGCAATACGTCGTTCGTTAAGCGAAATGCTTGTTATGCGAGGTTCCACTGTACTTATTATTATCATATTGACTGTGAAATCGACTAAAAATTTGAGATTAATGTAATTTATACATTCTTATGATTATTATAGAAATAAAAGTATTTATATATGAAAAAAAAAATGAATAAATTATATTTACACACGGAATTACATTAACAATAACTAAAAAATATATTAATATTAATGTATGTAGTGCAGCGTTCGTTACTTTAAGTAGTTTATATTAAATTTTATCCGTTGCATACTTATTTCACAAGGCAGCGATAAATACGAATGCAAATTTACACGGATAAAGTTATAAATAACACACTTCGTTTATGATGTTATTTTGTAAAACTTGAGTCTAGTTGAGTTCAACACAATATGGTTCCGTCCGCATTTCTGATTATGTGTTTACTGATATTTTGGGCGGATGCTGCTCGAATTCTGGCTGTTTTCTCGGTGCCATCATACAGCCATTATCAAGTGTACAATCCTATTATAAATGAGCTGGTACGACGAGGACACGATGTCGTCTCACTCACCACATACCCGATGATGAACCCAGCTAAGAATCTTCGCCAAATCGATTTGAGCTTCGCACAGGATATGTGGCACAAAGACTACCAATTGACAAAAATCATCAAAGAAAACAAATACAATCCATTGGCGATGAACTATATGCTTACTTACATCTTGAATAGCATCATCAACGCAGAGTTGGAGAGCGCACAGGTGCAGGAATTGATCAAGAACGAAACGGAAGTTTTCGATGTGCTTCTGGTGGAATTCATGATGTTCTCTACGATGGCTTTCAAGCATCGATTCAAAGTGCCGACCGTTGGCATAGCAAGCATGGATAGCACTTATGATGGTCATTTGGCAATAGGAAATCCAATAAATCCAGTTTTATATCCAGAGTATTCGCTACCTCTCAAGGACCAAAATCTCGATTTCGTCGAAAGGTTAATTAGCTTCATATACTTAGTCACCAGCGAGATTTTAAGTCGATTGTTACTTTATCCCATGGAACAAGCCACGATTATGAAATATTTTGGCGAAAATTATCCTTACGTTGTAGACTTGAGGAATTCCATAGACTTTTTGCTCATCAACACCAACCACGTATTTCATAGCATAAGACCTCTAACACCTGCGACCGTTAGCATCGGCCCGGGTATTCATTTGCAACCACTCAAAGAACTACCGAAGGCAATTAATTAATTTATCACTGACTTTCTAAGATTGAAGTACTTAAACTTGTTTTAAATGCAGGATTTGAAGGACTTTTTAGATAGTGCCAAAGAAGGAGCAATCTACTTCAGTTTGGGATCCAACGTTAAGAGCGAAGATATTCCCGATGCAACGAAAGAGATGATTCTCAAGGTATTCTCTGAACTTCCTTACAAGATCTTGTGGAAGTACGAGCAAAAAGATTCACTTCAACAAATGGGAAATCTCAGAATTGCAAATTGGGTGCCTCAACAAGACGTGCTCAGTTAAAATAACAATTTTCCCAATCTCCCAATTATATGTAATTTTCTTTCTATTTTAGGACACAAGAATATTAAATTGTTTATTAGTCAGTGCGGATTGCAATCTTTAGAGGAGGCTTTATTTAGTCACGTGCCTGTCGTTGGAATTCCGTATTTTGGGGACCAAGACGCAAACGCCGTGAAACTCAAGCAGAGGGGCCTGGGAGTCGTTCTGGACCACGAAAAATTGAGTTACGATAAATTCAAAGACGCAATTATTGAAGTAATTAGCAACCCAAGGTATATATCTGTATTCACATAATATATCCCATGATATATTGGTTAATATTTCAGTTATAAGAAACGCGCTGTGGAATTGGCTTCATTGATTAAAGATGAACCAATGACAGGGCTGGAGAGGGCCGTATTCTGGATCGAATACGTTATTAGGAACAGGGGAGCTCAACATTTGAAAGGTCCTGGTATCGAAATGCCTCTGTATAAATATTACTTTCTTGATATATTGGCTTTGTTCGTTTCTTTATTCGTGTTTTTAAGCTTTATTTTTTATCTAAGCTATAAACTGTTATCATCTATATATAGGAACGCAAAATTCATACGAAAATATAAAAATAATTAATGAGAGTGTATCCATTTATCATTTTTATTTATCATAATTGAACACATTTGTTTATTTTAATTTTATTTCATAACTTGATTCAAAAATGGTCAGAAGACGTTTGCAATGTTTTTATTTACTTTTTATCTATGCATGACTGTTGCAATAAACTTTCTGATTAGTAAATACATATTTCTTTGTTCCAAAGAAAATATAATATCAGGTTTATTTTTGGTCACATTGGATTGGACTTAAGCCATAGGGCTAAAGATGGAACACTATCAGCATCTTAAGGTTTCATAATATTTATCAATTCTGCTATTCGGATAAATGCTTCGTCCTTCTTTCTAGACAAACTTAATGGACAAATCTCGTATATTTGCATATTACTTCAATTGCGATTGCATATTACTTCGTGCTCAAGCATATATCTTATTTGTTAGATATTATAATGTGTTTTGTCGTTTTGTAAGTTTTATCGAGTTAGTGGAATTTCAATAATATCACGTAATTCGACGATGAATTTCTTTTATTTTTCTTTCTATTTTGTATAGATATAATATTATTGCTCAAACATATTTGTTTACTTGCAATGAACAAAAGCGGGAACTTGCGGGAACAAAAGAATCTAAGAAAAAATACCCTCTAGATCAGTGATTCTCAAAGTGGTCTATATCGACCCCCAGGGGTCTATGCAGGTTGTCATAGGGGTTTACGTCAGCGAAAAAAAAAATTTGGGGGTCCATGAAATGAAAATGGGGGTCCACGACAGTGGATCTCAACATGCACTGATAGTACTTATTTACTTACATTATACTATTTTATAATATAAAGACATATACATTATTTATGATGTTTATAAAATTGTGTAAGTTGTAGGATGTAGGCATTCGCTTTGTGGTCGCAATACATTTTGAACTTGTAAAAACCTGCACATAATGATATACCAGTAACATCTTGTTACAAGCATACGCGCAGTCTCAGAGCAAAGACCTTAATAATTATAAGATGCCCCAATATTAATAATAAATTTACAAAAAAATCAATATCAGAAAAGAAGAAATTTAAATATTTAAACAATTGTTTAAATCTATACTCTGATCACTTGAGTAGAGCTTGAGCGGTTGCAACCGCGTTTAGGTCGGCCGACCGGCTCGAGGATCTATATTTGCTACTATCCTTCCGAAGAGAAGTAAAATAAATTTTGCTCCCTGGGCCAGAAGATTCGTACAAAGCAGCAGTGAAATAAATTCGCTCTCCTCAGTTGACTTGAGTAGAGCTGAGCGGTTTACAGCCACCTTAGGCCGGTTCGAGGATTTATTTTATTACTATTTCTATATAGAGAATAAAATAAATTTGCTCCCTGGGCCAGACAGAAGATTCATATTTGCAAAGTAGCATTGAAATAAATTTATATTTCTGTCGTGTCCCAGGGTTAAGAAATCCTTGGACACCGTGGATTATCTCGTAGTTATGTCGTTGCGGAGTCTTAGAGGGGTTTATGAATATTAAATGCAATATTCTTAATTTACTTTATTATACACGTCGGAGTTTTATTGAGAAGTCAACTAAACAATAGTTGATCTCAGGTATTATTAACTAAGAGATCACATTCTCCTCTTAAGTTAGTGTTTATGAAGTAAGTGCTCTTCCTTGGCCTCTCCAAGTAAGACTTCTTCTCTCTTCGCTCCCCAAACTAAGACTAAATTATATAATACAAAAATGTGTTCATTTTAAAAAGGGGCTGCGTGGGAGGAAAAGGTTTGACCTTGTGGAAAACACAAGCGTTTCTTTATCTAAGTTTTATGATCCTACCAAAATATTTAGGGGCGGAAGAAGGCTGTTAAGTGGTGATACAAAAGACGCAACTATACGATTTAATGTGTAACAGTCGTTTGGAATATTCCACAAGTTATTCTAAATAATCACGTACAAGTATCCGTTTGTATATTTGATGGATACATTAAATATGATTTGTTATAATTAAGACGAAAGACATGGCCCTAACAAATATACTTATTAGTTATACAATAGATGACAATAAATTGGTCGGACACGACATTTCATTCTTATATATAGTAATATAAACAAAATTCAATTTGAGTTCGTCGACGCTACAATTGTGGAAATAAACAGAGAAATATCATTTGTCATACGAAGAACATTAATTGCGCGATTATACATAAATTACTATTACTTCGATATGAATTCACCCACGGTAATTCAATTGGCATTAAAAGCGGATTTCCAAAAGTTCAAGTTTGGATTTGGTTTCAACAAACATAATACTTTAAGGACACTTTGTGACAACACAATAATGAATTCGGATATGAATGCAGAATTCAAAATGGAGTACAGCGATTTGTTAAAATTACAAATCAACGGACAGAGGATTTCTAAGATGTATCACCACAACATAAAGTATACCGATACCAACGCCCAACTGAATGTCGGTATATTCGATATATTCAAATTGAACTTGAACGTACAGCGGGTATTAAAAATGAATGTGGAGAACCAAAACATCATGTATTCCAATACCAACGCTGAATTTAATTTAATCGTATACAATAATACCTACAAATATAAAATAGGAGGTGAACCAAATAGTGAACTCGATGATGAATAACATTAACGATAGATGATATCCTTCCTACATTGGTTATCAAAAGAAGTGTATGTGTTGAAATAAACAATTTATATTTTTAATGTAATATATATTATACATTAATATATAATATATATTATATATTATATTATTGATAACCAATGTAGGAAGGATATCAGAGAGCATAATTTATTTTACTTCTTTATATAGTAGTAGTAAATACAAATCCTCGAGCCGGCCTGAGTGTGATTGAAACCGCTCAGCTCTTCTCAAGTCAACTGAGGAGAGGGAATTTATTTTACTGCTACTTTGTACGAATCTTCTGGCCCAGAGAGCATAATTTATTTTACTTCTCTATATAGTAGTAGTAGTAGTAGTAGATGAGACCTACCGAAGCGAAATCCTACTATGTTTTTTACAACATATACTGTTCCGTTGCAAGTTCTCTCCACTCCGCACGTTGCGTTCTGGCAAACCGCGCTTTGCGTTGCACACGGATGTGCTCACATATAGCATTGCATCAAAACTAGGCAACTAGCGTAGCAGGTGGCTGTTCAAAGATTTCCTGAGGCATCTACTTGCCAAATGTCGCAGTATTTGATATTAACGCAATATGTTAAAAATATGTATCTTTGTAATGCACTGTTTATCTGGAATTGAGTGCTAATGAGACAGACCGGCAGATAAGCCTCGTGTACACTAATCTTGAAGGATAGGTAAATAATTCAATTATTTGTTCTAAAATGTTTGGTCTTTGTTAAAAGGTCAAAATTCATTTACGAATTATCGAATACTATAAATAGTGGGAGATCATTGTAATACTACATAGAACGACCATTGCTCCGATGACGAGCGACACCAATTCCACAATACATGTATCTACTGGAACAAATGACTCTTGTCAGTTTGTTTACAAATCATCTGCACAAAAGTACTAGAACAAACTACACTCGATACACAATATTTCGGATTCCGCAAAGAAGCAGAGTCGAAGAAGATGCAAGTGTTGATACTTATTTTCTTTGCTGATTTGTTTCCTACAAGCAGTGAATAAAATACAATATTATCTATTGTCATGCAGGTTTGTTATTTTTTTTTCTTTAAATCTATATTTGTATCGGTATATAATTTTTCTGTAACATAAACAGAGTGTCGCAAAAAAGTTAGAAAGATTATGACTTCAGTTTTTATTCACATATATTTAATAATTCATTTGCAAAAGTATCTACATAAATTCTATAACTTTTACTCTGCTAATAACAGTGGGCTACTGATTCACAAACATTTTATTTGGTGTAATGTAACTTGTACATTTACAACATAATGTGATGAACACTTGATTTGTTAATGCCGTACTATTTCTTGGCTGGTAAAGTTCATTCATGTTCTTGGTCTTCAGGAGTCTATGAATCTGAATTATTTTTTACACCCTGAGAAAAAATTATGACCTGTTAAAAATTTTATACATATTTGGGATGTATCATAATCATGATTTAATTTGTTTTTTTTTTCTACCATAGCTTTACTTCACCTAAAATGTTGAAACATCAACGAGATTCACATATTGCTAGTAATTTTGTTAGTACAGGGTGAGCCGACTTGGACTGACTCTTTTAAAATATTTATAACTTTTGAGTTTTTATTTTTTTTGTTGTAAATTATAAAAAAATTTAAGATAATTTATAATGGCTACATACTCAGTGCAAGAACTAGTTAAAATAATAGAATTTTATTATATTTCCGATGTATTGTTACAACGTACAAAACGTCTGCATTTTAATGTTCTAACAACTTGCAGTGCAAACATGATTAGAAACTTAATTTGCCGTTTTTAGGAACGGGGTGAAGTATGTGATCATCAACGATGAAATGTTCATCTTACTTCGCAACGAAGAAGCTGTGGTGGCTGTACGACTGAATGTCTACTCGTCGACGTGCTCTCAGTTGGGCATCTCCAGAACATCGCTAAGACGAATATTGAAACTTGATTTGAAGATGTTTCCATACAAAATTGAATTGGCCCAAAAAAATTTAAAACCGGATTTAGTACAATGCCAATACATTCGGTGACCGTTTTATTTCGAAAAATTCAGATTTCGGTTTTCCTCCCCGCATCTTTTTTGGATTTCTTTTGGAACTTTTTGTTTTTGATGGTTTACCAGAATAAACCACAAACAATGAATAAAATATTCTTAAAGAAATAATAAATTTGGAGCCAAAATGCATTAGTAAGCATATGAAGGTAATTTAAATTATATTATTTTCCACACTAATATCAGAAAATTCTAATAAACTATACTTTCATCTAAAAATACAATTACAAAAGTTATATATATTTTACATCCGTCAGTCGAAGTTGGTCCACCTTGTATATACATATGAATATTATATTTATACATATTAAAACAATTAA